TCAAGAACTCAAAATATTTAATCTCTCATATATCTTTCATCTTGTTGTTTAAGAACAAATTAAACTTTCCTTAAGCTTAATTATCATCTAGTGATCATAACTCAACCTTTAAATCAATAAATAATCAAGAAATCACAAACTTACCTTTGAGCTTGGAGATACGGGAGGAAGAAGAAGAAGAGAGAGAGTTTCCCAGATAACTCTTTCTTTCCCCCCACGTGATTCATTCTTATGAAAGGGGAAAAATATCTTTCTTATCAAATGACCAATTTGCCCTTTAATTCATTCAATAATTACCAAACAACCTTCAACTATATTCCAATAAGTCATTAAACTATTAAACTATTTTACTTTTATCACCAAATTTCAAAAATTCTCATTTTATTCACTGACCCAGATTTTGGGATGTTACAAATAAGATCATATTTTATCACATCTCAGTCAACAGGTTAACGTACAGCTCAGACTGCCGTCAAAATTTTAACGGAAAATGACGAGTTTGGAACATAATGAATAGTCGGTGACTATTTTGTAACTTTTAATAGTCAATGGACACATCCCTATGATCAGAAGAACATTTTATAACCTTTAAAAGTTAGAGAAGTTAGTAAAACAATATCATATTATCATAGATGTATACTTTACTCTTATATATATATATATATATATAAACTATTGAAAAAACATTAATATTATTTTAAAAATATTAATTTTTATTTTAAAGATAATTAATATTATAATTTAAATTTTCTAACCGATCAATCAATATAAAATTTCTTTTCAATTTGTTTTACAACGTTATTGCATGTTATACCTAGACGGGGCGGGTGGAGACGGTCACCCTCTAAAAATTTAAAATTTTCATATATTTTAGGTTTTTTTCTATGTATTTTCTATTAAAAAAATTCACCTCATTCTAAAATTTTATAAGTTCAAGTTCGCCCTCTAAAATTTTATAAGTTCAGGTTCGCCCTTAACTTAAAATTCTACGCCCGTCCATGATTGTATGAACATATTTCAAAATTGTTTATTTAATATCATTGATATTGCATATTTAGAGATAAAAGTGTGATATGTTTTGACATACATAACAACCATAAATTTAAACCAACATGTTTATGATCTTAACGGGGAATAGATATTTGATTTTAGGTTAAGAGTATGAATTTAATAAGTTATGTTAAAAATTTAAGAGTTAAATTGTATCACAAGTCCTCAATTGTGACTCTCATTTTAAATTGGTTCATAAACTTTTACATGTTCCAATTTCATCCCTAAACTATTAATGGAATTCTAAATTAGTCCTCAAAATTTTAAACATATCAATTGTATCCCTAAACTATGAGCTTCATTCTAAATTGATCCTCAAACTTTTTAAGCATTCCAATTTTATCCAAAACTTTATGTATATACTATTCACATATCTTGTTAATAAAATAGTTAGGCCAAGTTATATAATTATTTTTTTAAAAAAAATAGGTTAAACAATGGTTGAAACTAATTACATATTTGGATGAATTTGGGGATGAAATTGGAATACTCAAAAAGTTTGAGGACTAATTTAGAATGAAGGTCATAGTTTGGGGATGAAATTGAAATATTCAAAAGTTTAAGTACTAATTTAGAATGATAGTCATATTTTAGGGATGAAATTGGAACATTTACAAATGTAAGACCGTTTTAAAATGAGAGTTGTGTTTTGAGGATATATGATACAATTAACTCAAAATTTAAAAGGTGTGAAAATATAAAATTTTAAAGAATGTGAAATTATATCATCGATAAAAAAATATAAAAATACTTAAATTATATGATTATTTGAAATTTTCGGAGATGTGATCATATCCCGGTCCATCCTTTACCCCAAGAAGTGCATACATTAAAGTATCTTTTAATCACATGCTAAAATCGAGCAAGGGAGATTGCTACAATACTCTCTTAAAAGTTTTGAGAATGGCAATTGTAACACCCTCAGACCGATATGCGTGACCCGATCCGATCTGAGGTGTCACAGTAAAAATCCAAGAAAAAAATATATTTTTGTAAAAACATGTAAAATCATAAAACAATTTATAAATAAAACAAGGGTTCATAAAACCATTCATATATTACAAACAGAATTAAAATCATGCAAGTTCCAGACTCAGTATAAAAATCAAATGTGACCTACATGCCCCTAATTACGCTTGTACCATAGTCTGCAAGCCAAGCTAAATGAACTCCCATTACTGAAGTCGATGGTTGCACTAGATCAATTCTTTTAACTTAAAATGGTGAGTAAAAGAGTGAGTTTTGGGGAGCTCAGTAATACAGAACTACCATGTGATGCTGAAGGACATGCAGATAAATGACAAGCATAAAAATTTTCTAATTGATTCAAGCATTTATAGGTTTTCGTGATGAGATGAGGTTCCACTGATATTTCTTCAAAGGAAACATTCAGAAGACCAGGTTCAGAGATTAAAACAGACGTCTAGTGTGTTCCCTCAAAATCAAAATAAAATGAAATCATAGTTTATAAACAATAGTAATTTATTTCGGTAAAACATGTTTTTAAAATCATTGTAGTATCCTCCATCCGAATACTCCATGTGAAATTTCGCAGGACATCATCCATAAGGACTCACCCTAGACCCCTAGGATCTAGGAGTCCAATATGAATTATCAGAACAAAAAAGATTTATCAGCTAGCTAAACCACAAAAACTCAAGAATCCTACCCAATCAATACCCCAATAAAACAGTTTCAGATAGAACCAGTAATATCAGAAAACAAACAATAGAAGTTGGGTTTTTTATAAAATACAGAGTTTCCCTTCAATCGTATACCAAATATAGTACCCCAGAAAAGGCATCCATAAGGACTTACTCTAGACCCCTATGATCTAGAAGTCCAATATGGAAGATCATAACAGAAATGAATTATCAGCTAGCTGAACCTCAGAGACTCTAGAACCTACCCAGACAGTACACAGTAAAACAGTTTCAGACAGTACTAGTAATATAAGAAATCAGGAGCCAATTATACCTTGTGCCAGAAATCAAAAATCAAAAACCAGAGATCATAAACTAGTAATCAGAATCCATATAACAAAAATCGTACTTTATATAAATAAGAGAAAACATTTTTCCCATAGGGAACACACTAGAGAATCCATATATTTTTCGAAGGCGCTTGAAAATTATCAGGAATAAAAAATATGAACTTGCAAAAAATTAATCAGATTTCATGAACAAGGTCCCTATTGAAAGGGTTAATTTGTTAATGGAACTAATAAGACTTTTATATATTGATATTTCAAGACCAAAAAGGATTCGAGTGTATCAGGAAGGTATTCATGAACCTTTAAGTCAGAATGATTTAGGATTCAGATATAACAAGAGTAATTATATTATTCAAGCAATTTGGGACATTACAGATATTATGATTTTTTTGGTGGATTCTTAGTAACTTAATCCAATAAAGGTGAAACGATGATTTACAATATTCAAGATTCATTTCGACTTATAAGGATATCAAGTCAACTCGAACAGAACTAATCACATCATTGTGGTACCTGTCAACCATACGAATCGATATACTTCAAGAATATTCACTCCTTAACACTGACAACACTACTCAAACTGTTCACCTTCAGAACCATCGTTGAACGGATCTTAAGGAAATGTACATATTCTGGTGGTATTTTATTTTATTTATGTATTGTAATAGTCTCTAGGATGACCGATGTACTTGAGTCGTACTCCGCAAACCTTTAGGGGCGATACAATATTTAGGTTTCCTCGGTGTTTCCAGAATTACCCAGTAACTTTGAGTCATTTCCGTACTAGAGGTTACTTGATCATATAGAGTTTAATGTATTTCGATCCTTTTAAGGTTTAAGAGTATTTTGGTCCTTTGAATAGTGGAGGTTATTTAGTTATTTCACAGCTCGAGAACATTTAGGTAATTCTGTTCAATCCAAATATATGTACTTTTTATAGTAATTTGGTCAAGTATGTCATTTCATGGTTATTTTTTACTTTCAAGGGCAATCTTGGTCTTTTTGCAGTACGAGGACATTCTTGTAATTTTACTCTATAGGTTTATTTTTAAAATTTATTATCCAAGTATTCTCGGTATTTAACCTTTAAAGAAATTAATCAAAATTTACGGATCCTGAGGTCAATTCATTTATTAATGAACCACTGAACTTATAATTATTTTCGGTTGATCTTCAGTTTCTTATGCGAGCCATTTGTGTCTTATACAGTTTACTATCTTTTTATCGGAATTCTGTTCAAGTCCAGAAATAATTAATCGTAACCAATTATCAATAAGTTCCGGAAACCATACAAAAGGTAGTAAAATATTACCTCGATTTACATGCCATGTCGGTTGATCAATTGAACCCTAATCGATTTCTTTCACACTTGATTTCTATGTCTCATAATATCTCGAATACATAGAAGAAAAATTTACGTCAGAAACAGAATTAAACGGGAAAATATTTGAATATAAAGATAAAACGCTAAAAATAGATTATTTTATTTGAATTTGGCAAAACGGATTTCGAATTCGAACTCATGACATCAAAAAACATATAATTTGACTTTTTTTGGAAAAATTGACGTTTTGGACAAAGTTAACAGGTTTGGTCAAAAGTCAATGGGTCCATGTCAACGATCAACGAGTTGACTTGGTCTAAGTTGACTTGTTCAACTCTGTTCGAGTTGAATTCGAGTTGACTTAGCTTCCAGAATACTCGGTTGACTCGACTGAAACAAATCTTTGGTGCGTTGCAGCGCGTGTGATGGATGACGGGGACAGGGATAATGGTCGATTAACCGGAAAGCAACCAAACACCCCAATCAACTCAAATTACTATAAATAATCAGCCAAACGTTGAGGAAAATTGAAATAGAGCACCTGAAAACTTACTAAACGACGAATGACGAAAATAACAATGGTAGAGAGCAATATTGGTCGGGTTTTCATCGGGTCGGTGTTGGAAACTCGACATGAGTGGCCGTGAGGCCAACCGAGCTTGGGATCGACGTGAAATCGACAAAACAATGCTGAGGTTCTTTATGTTTTCCGACGAGTTTTCGAACACCTTAACCGGGCGACCAATGGCGATTCACATAGCAGGGATGACCGGGGTTTGGTCGGAATCGAGTGGGGTACTCGATGACGAGGGTGGTGTGATCATCGAAGCTCGAGATCGATGTGAATTTGAGGAAAATCGTGCGGTAGCTTTGTTTCCCGATGGACAATCGAACACCTTTTTATGGCTAACAATGATGTTCCACAACGAGTGACCGATCGAGTTTTGATCGAAGGAGGTCGTTGATCACAACGGTCAAGGCGGTGCTAGACATAGAGGTCGACGGATTATGCACGGTAAAGCGACGATGACAAAAAAAATTAGGAAAAAATGGGGTTTTAATTCGAACCAGATTTAGGGGATTGTATTTTTGGGATGAAAATCCAACTTGGTAAAAATAAATTTGAAATAAATTATTTTAACTATAGTCACCTATTCTAGTCGGCATTAGCATAATATACCAGGCTTTAGGTCACGGGTTCTAGGGGTGTAAACGAGCCGAGTCGAGCTCGAGTATTGCTGAGCTCGACTCGACTCGAAAACTCGCAAGCTTAAAATTTTTAAACTCGACTCGAACTCGAAATCCTGAACTGAAGCTCGTGAGCTCGAAAAGGCTCGAAATGAAGAAAAAAAAATTTAAACATAACTCGATTGAAGCCTCAAACTCGAACTCGAACCTGAACCTTAAATGTATAAAAATCTTAATGTATTCTCTTTAAAAAATCAATACATAAATATTAATATTTTTAATAATTTTTTAAAAAATATATATAATCTTATATATTATATTTTCGAGCTGCTTACGAGCTTTTCGAGTCGAGTATCAAGTAGCTCGTTTCAGTTCGTTAAGAATTCGAGTCGAGCTCGAGCTCGAGTCGAGTCCATTCGATCCGAGTATTTATCGAGCCTTTATCGAGTCGATCTCGAGTAGCTCACAATCTGTCTCGTCTCATTTACAGCCCTAACGAGTTCAATCCCTCAACATCACCACTTATTTTATTTTATTTTCTTGTCTGGCAAGAGATGGGCAACTGCAAGCTCAAGTCCTTGAACTTTCAGGATTTCTGAAAACTACCTTAAACCTTTTAAAACCTTACGGATTGGTCCCCAAAAATTTTAAATTTAAATAAAATGAGGGTGTTACAGCAGTAGAGCTCAATGTTGAATTCGTTGAAATGGACTATGAGGTACTCATCTAATCGATGGCTTTTATCAGTCGTGATTCTTCAACTTTGCAGTGTTGGAATTCCACACAAGGAAGCAGCAGTCAGGTGCTGTGATGAGGTCCATCCACTGGCAAAGGTCCGTAAACATGGAAGAACTTCGATTTCGCTGAAACTGCATATATATTGGTAAAAAACTATATATATGTAGATTCTGACTGTGTGTCGCATTCTTTGTCAATCAGTCCATAGGAGCAGTAAATACAATAGTAAGAAGGCCGATGGATGGCAACCTGATCGGTTATAACACGGACTGTTAAGCTTCTATCTCTACTATAGAGGATGCACTAAGAGGTACATGACACAAACATGATGTATGTTTCGGTTATCGTAAAGATTGCTTAATCGTATTTCCTTGGCATGAATAGAAAGGCAGGTTAACAGAAATGGAGCGTTCCATGGTACATCTTCTCCAATTTCCAGAAGAAGTTTTGTTTTGATTGGAGCAGGGGGTGCAGGAAGAGCAATGGCTTTCGGTGCTAAATATAAAGGGGCCAGAATTGTTATTTTCAACCGCAATTATGGTAAAGATTATCTTACCAATCTTCCGTTCATGCCGTTTCCTTTTGGTTTCCGTGGAGCTTGACATCCTTGTAATGGATTGCTTCCCAACAAGAGCGAGCAAAAGCCCTCGCCGATGCGGTTTCTGGGGAAGCATTGCCATATGAAACTTTAGAAAAGTTCCGTCCGGAGACGGGAGCGATCCTTGCAAATTATTCTGCTATTGGAATGGAACCCAATTCAGATCAAAGTCCTGTTTCAAAGGTGCTTCTCTTTCATTATACAAATCAAATTCATTCATCTACATATCCTTCATATTACCATGCTTGTTCGGGAGGCTTTGAGAGCATATGACTTGGTTTTTTATGCGGTTTACACGCCTAGAATCACACGACTCTTGAAAGAGGCTGCTGAGGTTGGTGTCGCAGCAGTGAGTTCAGGCTGTTCACTGGTGGCTCAGGTAATATATTCATCATTTCCAGTCCAGTTTCGGTTAAATTTCCTAAAATAACATAACTGATTCATTTCTAACATGATGACCTTTGCAGCACCTGAAGACTTTATGCAGAACTTGTAATGAAACAATTCTGAAATCGGCAATGCTCAAGTTGGAAATCTCTGAAGGATATGTTGGTTTTTTATGCTAGTTTTCATTATATGCAACAATGTAGCAAAATTGTGCAATGGATAGATAGTGTATGTAGTACTCTGCTACGTTTTCCATGTTTCCAAAATCGAACTGAAAAGATCCATTAAGAACCTGTATTAAATACTAACAAATCATCAAGCGGCTGTTGGTTGGTTAAAAAAAAAGGAGGCAGATTGTTCTATTTTATTTCTTCACAAATAGCACATACGGGAGCAGTCAGCAGCTTTCATTACAATCCAAATCTACCTAATATTCAGCTTAATATAAAACTCTAATGGCATACGAATCCATCCACAATTCTGCACCAAAGTAATTGCTGCAACTTGTACATTAGAAAACCCAACAAAAAAGCCGAGTGAAATATTATCAGTGGGCCTGGAAGAATGCGAGTTAGCTCTGGTTGCCTGTAAAAGGTGTATGATAATGGCAAAAGTTATCAGAGTCAAAATAAGCTGGGATCATTAGGTCTAGAATAAAAATAATATAAGGTGGGATTAATCATTATGAGAATAATGCAATCGTAAGACAACAGCAAAAACATTCATGATAGTTTTAGGATCTCACATGATAATCTTCAGCTGATCCTTTGTGTTACATTGCAAACTGTATCATAACAAAGAATATTAGTAAGAATATAAATTGAAAAAACTGAAGAAAAGAATTTGAAGAGTGAAGAATGATGACTTATTTACATTATTTCGGTGCAATACAGATTCTGTCAATCATTGCATAATCCCAAAAGACGAAATGATAAGCCCGCTTTGAATTTCTGCATTGGTCTAAAACAGTTTGAGACCAGGAATTCATTTCCAAACTTTATATTGATTACCAGAAGACACATATATCCAAAAAAATAAAGAATAACCAATGTCAAAACAAAATGAGCCAATGCTTCAAGTCGAATAACAAACCACCCTTCTAGCAAAATATTACCATACACCCTTACTCATTGCAACGCACATTCAATAGCATACAAACATGGATTTACTAGGGCTCTTACTTTATATATGGAAGCAAAGCAGACAGTTTAACCGGTTACTGTATACCTTCAGAAGGCTGTGCACTGGCATTGAAATTCTCAATCCCTCCACTTGCTGGGGCAGCAGGATTAGTCTGATACAATGCAGGTGTCGCCATGGTGGGTTTCGTTGCAGTTCTGGGATCTGTTGATGGCGGAGCTAATGTAGGAGGCTGTGGCAGACCATTTACTTGACCAGGTAAGGAAGGAGCACCAGGTGGTGCCGTTGTTGGTGGCATTCCTGGAACAGGAGCATAACCTGGCAACATCACCGTAAAAGAACAAATATTTATTAAATTCCATCCTGCATGTGTAATTGAGATCTAGAAAAAAAAAACTGGTGCCTGGCTAGGAAGGATGTTAGTATCCTGATATCAAGTATATGACATATCATGAATTATGATATAATATAACAGCTTCACTGTAAGAAAATGGATAAGCAAATTTTTTGTATGACCATATAATAAATATCCAGACCTCATATCAGCAACAATACTAAAAACGTGGATACGCCTTGAATCTTACCTGGAGCACCTGGAACCGGCCTCGGCATAACAGGGGGGCTAATCCCTGGGACCATTGGTATTGGTGCAGCCCTCGGAAGGGGCATAACAGGTGTTGGAAGAACAGGAAATTGGGGCCTCTGAACCATTCAATGTTGATTGAAAGCAGCTCCAACCTGCTGGAAAGCTGCAGCTTGACCCAGATGTTCCTTGATCCTTTGGTCTATTAAGCTCTTGGTCCGTTGCTCCTCGAATTGCTGATAGTATGTTCTAACATTTGCCTAAATTCCCAGAAAGAATCCGCAAAATGAATAACTGACAAGATAAACAGATGAACAAGATGCAAAAGAAAATTCTCAAATAATTACCTTGTGTTTGTACCCTGCATTGTGTTGTTTCCTAACTGATGGCTGAAATTTGAAAACCCCCAAAAAGATGTCAACGGTTTTTTAAATTCGACAACCCAGATAATTAAACACAACCAAATTTCAAAAAAAAAAAAAACTGTTTAGATATAAAACAAACATAAACAGATGAAGATAGAACAAATAAAAAACAGAAAACTTTCGGAGTCGTGCGTCAAGTAAGTGTCGCAATAATCACAGTAATACCTGCAAATTTGAATCCAAATAAAAATGTTCACGGAGTGTTAATAAAAAACTCGTGGGATTGAATAAGTTGACAAATATTAATACCGAGGCATGACTACGAGGGGGGAAAATCAGAATCGAAACCGGATTCGGATCGTAACCAGATCGCTATGTGAAGCAAAACCCCAGCTCAGAGACAATGGAAGTAAAAGGAAAATGGGACCTATGATTTCGGCCCAGTCTAGAAACTTCGAACCCCCCCCCCCGAGTTGCTATATATAGCCATATAGGGGAATCGTGATCAATTATCTAACGGTAATGATCAGCTAAATTCCACTTATCCAAACGGTGAGTAATTGAGAACGTTAATTTCGTTATTGTCAGGGTCGTACCAATTTTTTTTTACCAAAGATGCACCAGCGTAACGACGACGTTTAATAAGGACAGTATATTATTTTAGTAGTCAATATATACAATGTCCTTACGAAACGTACGAGACACGAATTATGGGCCTCTTTTAGCCTTTAAAAAATGGTTGAAAAGAAATTATTAGTATATAAATTTGTATGAATTGCTTTGGTGATTGAGGCCGTCACGCAGCTCAATTATAGGTGAATCAAACACATTAATTTAGGGTTGACTGAGGTGATCCATTCTCTCTCTCTCTTTTTTTTTTGTTAACTACGTAGATTATTACTTATGTTTTTATTTTATTTATTTTTAGTCATCGATTTCAAAAATATAAAATATGGTCACTTTCGTTTTTATTTAATTAAGTTGTAATCACCTCGAGTTAACTGTCATTAACAATAATTAAATATTTTGATATAATCACATATTTGGTCCCTGATATTTACATATTCTCTCAATTTAGTCATACTTTTAATAAATTAAATAAATTTAATCCTCCAATCGAATGATGTCACATGCCATGCCACGTGTCATCATTCGGTTGGAAGACTAACTATATTTTAATTTAATATGTTTATTTTAAAGTATGAATAAAATGAGAGAATATGTAAATATAATGGACCAAATGTGTGATTATACCATCTATCAAGTCACATATTATGTTAATTGTTAATAACAGTTAACCCGTGATGACCACATCTTAAATAAATAAAAATGAAAGTGGTCATATCTTTTTTTTTTAAATTAGTGACCAAAAGATGACAAAACACAAACATAAGTGGTCATCTTTGTAGTTAACCTTTTTTTTCATTTATGGTGCAGTTGTATTTTTCTTGGTGGGGTTGTATAATCATACAGCGAAATTTGGTGTTGTGGTCAACTACTATCTCACATGTACTGTTTTAACAAATATATTTTTTCATCCAAATGCTTTACTTGTAATTGTGGCGATTGATGGATGATTGGTGATTTCTTTATAAAGTCATAAATAGTAATTAAAATATCGTTTAATGTCAAATAAACAAATTTAATAATATCGGTAATTAAACCTAGTTTTTTAAAATTTAAATAAAAATGAATAAATAAATTTCGGAGTAAATGCACAGTTTTTATCTCAATAAATTCAAGGCATTACCTCAACTATGCTTTTGGAACTTGGAACTTCTTTTGTGCTTTGTCGGAATTTCACCGTAGTGTAAGAAACTACTAATACTGTTTTTTACCCTTTTCACGAGTACGGGCAGAGAGCAGTTGTTGGAAGCTTTGCAAGAGGAAGAAGGCTGATGTTGGCGGGACAGTCTGGCGTATTTTTCAGCTCGATTTTCAGACTAATTTACGGTTGTACCCTTCCCATACGTTTTTACTTCCTTACCCTCCTCTTTTTCTTTGAAAGACTTACCCTCCTCTTCGTTGTTGCAAATATATATATATATATATATATATATATATATTCAGATATCACTAAATTATGTTAAATAAGGTATTTTCACGTGAATAATATCATTTATTTTAATTATATATATTATAATGACATCCAAAAATTATCTTTAAATTAATATTTTCTAACATATAAGATAAAGATATGTCATTTTAATTATGTATTTTGAAAACGCGTTATACAAAATGCATCTTTACTTTATGATAGTATAATTGTCAAAATTTGTAAAAGAATTGGCCATAATGAAAAAATGACCATTAGTACTGTCGCAACCGTCTTTCGGTTGGGCCCCGGAATTGGGCTTCGACTTGAAAAATGTGGATTGGAGTCGCCACCGATCATTTATTTAAAGATAAATAGGTTGATCGGATACCCTATTTCTTACCTGATATGCGTCTTACCAGAAATATGTCGGGCTCGGAAGTCGGTTACGGTCAAGGAAGGATTAGCACCCTTGAACCGCCCTTTCGGTACTACGTAATTTCCAGTTGTCTTAATTAAGAAAAATAACAAGTTAAATTAAAAGATAAAATAATGATCCAAAATTACTTACCTTTGACGGATTTACAAATATACCCTTTAAAAGTCAAAATATGGGTTAGAGGAGATGAATAAATGATAAATAAAGTAAAACAAATAAAATAAGGAGATTAAGTAAGAAATAAAGTAAATATAAAATGAATAGAATATATAAAATAAAAAAACAATAACACTAATATATGCACAACAAACAACTAAATAAAAATAAAATGATAATGCAAATAAATAAATAAAACAAGTAAAAGAATATAAAAACATAAAATATAGGATAAATATAAAAATAGATAAATAATGAGTAAAATATATAAAAAAGTAAAAGCATATATATATAAGTAAAATAATAATAAAAAAAAAGAAATCAAAAGTAATATACGTATATACATGCAAAATAGGAAATATATATATATATATATATATATATATATATAATAACACTAATAAAAAACATATATAGATATATAATAAAATTAATAGAAAGTAATATGCATATATAACAAGAATAATAAAGTAGGAAAAATATGATTTAGGGGGGAGAATTAAATATTTTAAAAAAATGAACACGCCTCGGGGGTGGATCTAGGTTCGAAACTTCGAAATCCCACCCTTTTTTAGTCATCGGCGCAACCCACGTTTTGGGTTATTCGAACCAAATCTCAAGAAAAATAACGTGCACATGCGAGAAATGAACGAACCAATGTAAAAAAAGATGATACCTTTTATTTCCTTTTCGAATCGTTTACAACAACTTTGCCTTTGTATTTTCCGTGCTTTCCTATGTGTTTTGTGTGTAAATCGTGTCTTACAATGGTGAGTTACAATGGCTATTTATAGTGCTTGTGGATCCTATCTTTAGGAATTTAAATAATAGTAGAACTCTATCCTATTTTTAGGAGTTTGAATCCTAGCAAAATTTTATCCTATTTTTAGGAGTTTGAATCCTAAAATTCTATCCTATTTTTAGGAGTTTCAATCCTAGTAGGACGAAAAATGTGTGTTGACAGCTACCCCTCTTTGCCCATAGTCGTGTAACGGGGATAGGGCAAAGATTAAAAGACACACTTTTCGTTCAGTGGAGTTGAAAATTAACTCTGATGTTTCAATAACTCCCTGTCGAATTGAGTTACGGATGACTCCTCCATCGTGAAGTCGAGTTCATCTTGAAATGATATGAAATTAAAGCCGTAGTTCGGAATTTGAATCTGCACGTGGCTTCCCGTTACCCTTCGGTCTTCTTCTCGGTTTAAAGACCTTGGATCGGAATCGAACTCAGAAATCTTCATTGACAGATAACTTTTTCTTGACTTAAGCTATGCTGTTTGAAAATGGTTGCTTGTCACTAAGGCACGGCTAACCCAGGTCCTCTTCTCGACTTGAAAACCTCGACTGCAACTGGAAAGTAGTGCGATTGATGTGTCATCGAGCTGAATGGAGTCGAACTCGACAATTTTGATGGCAGATAATCTTTCTTTGAGTTGGATATCCTTCGTCGTGAAGTTGAAATCCAAGTAAGTAGTATTGTTCCAAGTCCAATATCCTCCGTCGTGAAGTTGAAATTGGCTCTGGAACCGGGAAATTGTTTGTTGACAACCAGCCGTCCATTCGTTGTGAAGTTGAACTTGTGTTGTCTCGAGTCCAATATTCTTCGTTGTGAAGTTGAAATTGAATCTGAATGAAATTTTGTTGACAAGAAGCGGTCCCTTCGTCGTGAAGTTGAACTTGCGTTGTCTGGAGTCCAATATCCTTCGTTGTGAAGTTGAAATTGGCTCTGAGATTGGGAAGTTGTTGTTGACAAGCAGCGGTCCCTTCCTCGTGAAGTTGAACTTGCATTGTCTGGAGTCCAATATCCTTCGTTGTGAAGTTGAAATTGGCTCTGAGATTGGGAAGTTGTTGTTGACAAGCAGCGGTCCCTTCGTCGTGAAGTTAAACTTGCGTTGTCTGAAGTCCAATATCCTTCGTTGTGAAGTTGAAATTGGCTCTGAAATTGAGAAGTTGTTGTTGACAAGCAGCGGTCCATTCGTCGTGAAGTTAAACTTGCATTGTCTGGAGTCCAATATCCTTCGTTGTGAAGTTAAAATTGGCTCTGAAATTGAGAAGTTGTTGTTGACAAGCAGCGGTCCCTTCGTCGTGAAGTTGAACTTGCGTTGTCTGAAGTCCAATATCCTTCATTGTGAAGTTGAAATTGGCTCTGAAATTGAGAAGTTGTTGTTGACAGGCAGCGGTCCCTTTGTCGTGAAGTTGAACTTGCGTTGTCTGAAGTCCAATATCCTTCATTGTGAAGTTGAAATTGGCTCTGAAATTGAGAAGTTGTTGTTGACAGGCAGCGGTCCCTTCGTCGTGAAGTTAAACTTGCGTTGTCTGGAGTCCAATATCCTTCGTTGTGAAGTTGAAATTGGCTCTGAAATTGAGAAGTTGTTTGTTGACAACCAGCCGTCCCTTCGTTGTGAAGTTGAACTTGTGTTGCCTCAGTGCCACGATATCCTCCTTCGTGGAGTTGAAATCGCAGATGGCCCCTTCGTTGTGAAGTTGAGCCTTGACTTGAATATCCTTCGTCGTGAAGTTGAAATCCAAGTATTGTATGTTGCGGGTGGACACAATTCCCTTCGCCGTGAAGTTGAAACCGTGGAGACCCCTTTATTGTGAAGTTTGGCTTCGAGCTAGATATCCTTCGTCGTGAAGTTGAAATCCACTCTCGAGCAAATCGTGTCGCTTTGAGTTCAATATCCTTCGCCGCGAAGTTGAAATTGACTATACCTAAAACCTGAAAAAGTTATGCATATATGTGATGCTATGGATGCAATGCTCTTAGGTGTGCCTAAAATGCATATGCAACATATGCTATCTTAGGGCTCTGGAGAGAAATCTCGATCTCCAGTTGCCTGTCTGGAATCTTGATTCTTGAATCTTCAAATTTTGATCCCTGATCTTGAATTCTTCAAATGTTCAAATCTGATGTGCACATTCTATTTTTGATTTGAGAAATGCTTCTCGACCATCTCAAGTATGTGCCTGAGTTGAGTGTAACGGTTCAGATGATGCTTCAAAAGAAGTTGTCTTGAAAGAGATAGAATTCGTTTCAAGGGAAACGATCTCAAAGATATCTGTTGTTTCATGAGAAATGGTCTCAAGGGAAACAAAATTATGTTTTAAGGGAAATAAATTTGAAGATTTTGTGTTTCAAGAGTAACTATCTCAAGGGAGACAAAATTTGTTTTAGGGGAAATAAATTCAAAGGTTTTGTTTCAAGGGAAACTGTCTCAAGATAGACGAAAATTGTTTCAAGAGAAACTGTCTCAAGAGAGACAAAACTTAGTTCCAAAAGAAACTGTCTCAAGGGAGACGGAATTTGTTTCAAAGAAAACATATTCAAATATTTTGTTTCAAGGGAAACTGTCTCAAGAGAGACAAAACTCTTCTAGTGAAAACGGTCTCAAGCGAGACAAATCTTGTTTTAAGAAAAACAATCATGAGTGAAATAAATCTTCTTTCGAGTAAACAGTCCCAAGTGAGACAAAGTCTGTTTTAAAAAAGTAATCTCAAGTGAGATAATCATCTGCATTAAATGAGACTGTCTCAAGCGAGACAGAATTTATATTGGAAATGTCGAATCTAAAAATGAATGTCGATCTTTCTATCTGTCGAGTTGGTTGAAGTGTAGCTTCTTACTGCTGAGCTAAGCAACCGACATCAATCTGTAAAGGTGCTTTTGAATCGAGTATCCTTCGTCTTGAAGTCGAACTTGACTCTAAAGCTGTAAAAATTATGTACGTGGAAAGAAAATGATAGATATGACGCTCTAAAATGTATGCATAAGATGCATGTAACATGAATTGGTTATATTTTATCTCCTGAAAAAGGTCTGATAATTCGTATTAGGATGTTGAATCCCCAAAGATGCCTCAATATCCAAAAATGCCCCAATATTTGATGTTGAATCTTCAAAGTACCCCAAATGTTCCTCATTTCTTGCTTCATCATTGATTCTAAGCATGAGCTTTGTGTTTGAGAGTCACATGTCATTTACCAAGATCTACTCTAGAGAGACTGTCTTGTTTGGAAAAAAAATGTTTTTCTTTCTCTTTTATTTTCAAAGTCATGAAAATATCAATTAAAAGAGTTTCAAAAAATGTTTAATCTCAAGTTTTAAAAATATTGCCCCTATCACGATTTTACAATTGAGACGAATCATAAAACTAGACTTCATCGGATATCAAAGAATTAATTACAATGTTAATCCTTCAATAAATTATAGCTATTTGACAACTGCCAAGATCCAAGCTATCTTTGGGAGATAGTCAAGTAAGGAAAGGATAAAAAGTCTCAGGTTATTGTGTTTGGTCAAAGGTTTGGCATTTGATGCTCAAAGGTTTGACATTGGATGCTCAAAAGATTGATGAGGTAGCTTGCATGCTCCTCTGATGGAAGTGTTCCCTGACTCCCAACCTTTGTTGTCACACTCGGATTGTGCGATGCCTTATCAAGGAATTTACGTGATCGCCTCAGTTGCACAATTTTTATATTCGAGCCGCCTTTTCAGGTTTTCAACTCGAACCCTCCTTTGGTTTCAAGACGTTATTCAGGATTTACGTCTTGAACCCCCCTTTGTTATTTTTTCTACCATGCATTAATTACATTGTTTTTTTACAAACAAAGATTAATCCTGATGGGCGGGATGAAATCTGAAGATAGTCTATTCTGTTTAGAAATCCATGTATGATTAGAAGAGACTTTTAAGGCACGTAATGTAGGCCAAGGCTCATGGTTATGAAAGAAAAGGATAAATAGGCCCAAACAAGTGTTTCAGGGTGTTGAACCAAGGATCAATTCATTCTGATGCCTTCAATCCTGTCTTGCTCAATTTGGATCTGCTCATATGTGTTTCTCTGGATTTTCTCTGGATGTTCCATGATCTTCGAGTGAAGTGATTCAGAGATTCGGGAATGATCGTACTTGATCAATCTCATAGTTTGAAGCTTGATGTGCCATTTGTCTTTAGGGAATATTTGCATGTGCTTTTTGTCCCTTTTTCTTTTTGATTTTTGCTCTTTTTTCCTTTTGTTCTTGTTTCTCTTTTTCTTTGTTTTTTTTGCTTTTTTGCTTCTTTTCTTTTTTGTTCTTGATTGGATCTTCGCACTTGCCATTTGATCCACCTTTTGGTGTCTCTTTTTGATTGATGTCTTCACTCATGTGAGCAAATTTCTTCCACCTTGCCCCCCAATGTGGAGGGTGATCCTTGGTTAGGGTTGAATCAGAAGAAAAATACTACAGGCTCAAAATGGGACACAAGGGATATATATTTTCTCCTGTTGTAAAGGGATAAAGAAAGAAAGCCGTTCATCATTTCATACATGGAAGTCCTCACAGAAGAGGTATCCCCAGGGGGATAGATTTTCAGGATTAATTTCATTCACATGAAAACAGTGTAGTTAATGCGTGATAGAATTATTTCGAATGAATTGTTTTTTTGCTCCTTGCTCCCAACATATCTAAATGTTCAGGCTCCCGGCGAGATGCCCCAAATTGTGTCTTAGAAGAATGATCATGTTCAAATGAACAACTCAATGCCTTGGGTATTAAAATGTCAATTTTGAGTCTAAAAAGACAATGGTGTGACTTTATTTGACTCAAAGAAAGGTATGGGTGTATCAAAAAGATAAAGACAATGTTCAAGAATTTCAAAGGGAAGTTATGTCAAAATTTGGTCTTTTTGGTAATGATCAAGGTATTTCATTTTGGGGTTTAAGACATGATAAGAAAGGTCTAATCTTGTCATATGTCAAAAATCTATAATTCTTGAAGAGTTAAAAGAATCCTTAATTCATTTAATATTTGAAGAACTAAAGATTAAAATTTGTTCAATTGCTCCACCTTAGAAAGTAGCATAAATTCAATCGTTTAAAAGATTAAGCAAACATGAAATATCAGTGACGTGTTCAAACAAAACAATCCTCTAAGTGCAAATGGTATATGCCATGCCCCCTTCTTCGGCTGTCAATGCCCCTGAATCCATCAGGTTTTGGATCTTGCGCTTCAGCGCCTTATAGTTCTCAAAGGAATGTTTGGAGCATCCTATGTGGCAACTATAAATAGCTTCAACATTGTAGCCCTTAGGATATGTGGACTTTTTTCTCAGATCATCTTGGCAGGTTTAGTCGTACAACCAGCTGATTGGGCTCATTCGTTGTGACAGTTTTTTTTATGATGTTACAATCTTGCTTCCATGTGGTGTCATGTGGTTAAAACCACTTCATCGAATTCTCCATGAAGAGATTTCATGTTTATGAAAATACTTAAAAAATGAAATGTATATGCAAAATGCAAAAATGCATGAAATGTTCGAGGCATTGATCCAAAAACATTTATGTTATTGTAAATAACCTTTATTGGGACAAAAGTGTTTTATCTTTTAAGAGACAATAAACATATTTAAAGGTACATCCGGACTAAATCCTCTAGGCCTGGAACCGGTTGACTAGTTATTTGCCTTCGTCTTTCACCGGTTGAATAACCTGTCGAACCGCTCCGACCTCTCTGGATGAACCGTGAAAATGTTGAGTTTTTTTGTATTGGTTCCCAAAAAGTGTCGAATGACTTCATCTCTGGCTTTCATCCTTTGCTGAATCGGAAATTCCATTGAAATCCTCCATCAAAGGGATTATTCGAAGTTCATTTGCTTGTTTCTTGAATTTGTCGATAGTGACTTGCCATCTTGTTCTTGTTGTCTTTGAATGGACTCTCGAGGTCAGTAACCTTTTTCTCGTCTTGCCCCTGCCACCTTTGTCAACCCATTTTTGAAAAGTTAACTTTTGATGTACTTGATTGTGGGCACCATGAATGTGACACATAGTTGTCTTGCAAATTGTCCTCATTTTCTTTCTGAGCCCTTTTCGGACCATAGCCAGACCCCTGCGTTCTTATCTCTTGTATTACAACCCCTTTGTCCATTAATGCAGATTATTCATATTTTAACAAACAAGTTTTTGGTGGATCAACACCTCTTTTAAATGATGCAAATATTGAAAACAAAATAAAAGAGAACAAAAGTAAAATAGAGTTAGTGAGATAAATCAAAACAATAATAAAAATAAAAAATCCTACCCCACATGATATCTACCTCGCATGCTTTAATTCCTACCAGGACATGATCTCTATCCCGCATGCTAATTTCACACAAATCCTAACCGTATATTTGTCTAGTTCGCATGCTTTGAACAGAAAGTAAAGCAGGAAATAATTCCGGCATCCTAGGGTTTGAAATGAGGTTTTGGGGTGGGCTCTAATTCTCCATCATCTCCCGATTTAGGTTCTAAAAAAAACGGTACCCGAGTTCTCCTTGTTGGTGCCCCCTTGGGCTTACCAGATCCTTAGTCCTAAACCCATCACAGGCTTGTATGGACTAAGTTAAACTCGAGAGGAAACATTCCCTTATGCCCACACGGAGAATAAATTCACACGAAGGCATAAGGTATATGTATCCTGAAGGCTACTTGCTAGGCCCACACAGTGAATAAATTCACACGAAGGCGTCGCTTTCACCCCCACTTAAAAGGGTTCGGAGCTCGGGTATAGAGCCTTTGGATGAAAAAGTTTGGAAAGCTGAAATCATTAGAAAACGGTCAGTCCAACTATTTACTCGAAAAAAATATAACCAAAAGTAAGTAATAAGGATCGAAATGTTGCCTTAAAATTCAAACTTACCCTTTTCGTTAAAAAGACAACTGGAAATTACCTTAGCCTGACTCGCTTACCTGCTTCCCCAGCGGAGTCGCCAAGCTGTCGCAACCGTCTTTCGGTTGGGCCCCAAAATTGGGCTTCGACTTGAAAAATGTGGATTGGAGTCGCCACCGATCATTTATTTAAAGATAAATAGGTTGATCAGATACCCTATTTCTTACCTGATATGCGTCTTACCAGAAATATGTCGGGCTCGGGAGTCGGTTACGGTCAAGGAAGGATTAGCACCCTTGAACCGCCCTTTCGGTACTACGTAATTTCCAGTTGTCTTAATTAAGAAAAATAACAAGTTAAATTAAAAAATAAAATAATGATCCAAAATTACTTACCTTTGACGGATTTACAAATATACCCTTTAAAAGTCAAAATATGGGTTAGAGGAGATGAATAAATGATAAATAAAGTAAAACAAATAAAATAAGGAGATTAAGTAAGAAATAAAGTAAATATAAAATGAATAGAATATATAAAATAAAAAACAATAACACTAATATATGCACAACAAACAACTAAATAAAAATAAAATGATAATGCAAATAAATAAATAAAACAAGTAAAAGAATATAAAAACATAAATATATGATAAATATAAAATAGATAAATAAATGAGTAAATATATAAAAAGTAAAAGCATATATATATAAGTAAAATAATAAAAAAAAAAGAAAATCAAAAGTAATATACGTATATATACATGCAAAATAGGAAATATATAAATATATATATATATATATATATATATATATATATATATATATATATATATATATAATAACACTAATAAAAAAACATATATACATATAATAAAATTAATAGAAGTAATATGCATATATAACAAGAATAATAAAGTAGGGAAAAAATGATTTAGGGGGGAGAATTAAATATTTAAAAAAAATGAACACGCCTCGGGGGTGGATCTAGGTTCGAAACTTCGAAATCCCACCCTTTTTTTAGTCATCGGCGCAACCCACGTTTTGGGTTATTCGAACCCAATCTCAAGAAAAATAACGTGCACATGCGAGAAATGAACGAACCAATGTAAAAAAAGATGCTACCTTTTATTTCCTGTTCGAATCGTTTACAACAACTTTGCATTTGTATTTTCCGTGCTTTCCTATGTGTTTTGTGTGTAAATCGTGTCCTACAATGGTGAGTTACAATGACTATTTATAGTGCTTGTGGATCCTATCTTTAGGAATTTAAATAATAGTAGAACTCTATCCTATTTTTAGGAGTTTGAATCCTAGCAAAATTTTATCCTATTTTTAGGAGTTTGAATCCTAAAATTCTATCCTATTTTTAGGAGTTTCAATCCTAGTAGGACGAAAAATGTGTGTTGACAAGTACCATATGTGTGTATGTCGAAGGCATGTGGTCGCATGAGTACAAATTAAACATAAAACACATGTATGAGTCTTATCTTTAATCACCCAATGAGTGTATACTTTAAATGTTATATTTAAACACTTGAAAAAAATCAATATCTAAATAATATTATATTTTAACTTAAATCACTTTTAGCTCATCAGTTTTGATTTAGTACGACCAATACCTAAAAACTTGATAATCACACTTTAACATCATCATTGTCCTAGTCGATTTATCGAAGTAGACACCAACAATCACTGGAATCAAATTTATCATTAAGTTGAATACAAACAAATTATCATATGATTGATACTAACAAAGTCGAGAAATCTCTCATCAATATTTAATCAATGTGAGATTTAAAAATCTCATAATTAAAATAATTGTTTTGGAGTGTCAAAAACATATTATAAACTTGATCATATTCATGTTTATACAATAGTTAAAAGATATTTTAGATACTTGAATCTCGAGTGTTTTAGAATACAAAAACTGATAGAAAAATTCAATGAGTATTAGTTTGGTGTGGTTTTGTTTGAAGTTATTCGTCCAAATCCCATATTATTTAGATATTGTTTTTTAAAATATTTAAATACAATATTTTAAACATATATTTATTCAGTGATTGAGATATGATTTATACATACGTGTCGTTGTCATTGTTTGACTTGTACTTGTATTAATACATGTTTTCATCATATATCACACGCCTTTTTTATTTTCTATAAATTTTGTACAATTTTTTTCATACTTTTTCGCACTTCTCCATTTTCATTTTGTCTCGTATTATTGTAATCTTTAAAAACTTTGATCGACTTTCCTTTATGTAAGTAAAGACGTGTCAATTATGACATAAATGAATGCTATTTTAATTAATGATTTTTATGTTATTTTATTGGATAATTTGAAAAATGACTGCCTTTAAAAAGGTTTTAAAACAATCATATTTTGATAGTTAAATTTTCAAAGATTATAAAATAATTATTAAATATATCAAATTATTTTAAAATGGTTATTTTAATAACATAGTTAATTACAAAAATTTAATAATTATTTTATGACTTTTAAATTTTACTAATAAAAGATTATTTTAACTTCCCAAATATTTTAAACTCTATATAATGGTATCCTTACTTTTATGCAAAGACAGAGTCAGAACTAAATATTATTAGAGCCTGAACTATTGGACTATTTAAGAAAAATATAAAGACTTATTAGATATTTAAATTCAAAATTCAGCACGAACAAATCGACCTTAGTGATTAAGGAGTTATTGTTATCTTCGAGGTATCGAGTTCGAGCATTGTACATGTAGAGGTATGAGCGTTCATTGTCAAATAGTTGAAAGTCTTTGTACATATATTATCTTGTATTCACTCTAGATTTTTTTTAAAAAAAAACCCTCAAAATTCACAATATAACACCTAATTTGTTTAATATTTAAACTTACAATGACCTAAATTGTTATTAGACAAAAAATTTTGAGAACATGGAGTTATCCTTCTTTAGTTCGGTTTTGACTTGATTAAATATTTAATAAATTTTTATATTTTTTAATTTAAATATTTATTTTTATATAAATTAAAAAACTATTAAATTAAAATTATATCAAATATATAAATTTTAACATGGCCTAGCCCCTCACTAAGCTCCGCCCCTGCTCTTATGTGTCTGAAAATGACCAATAGGGTTGGGTCAACCACTTTCCTTTCTTTTCCAGTTTCAGTATATCTACTTGTTCCTCTACAAAGACACCACTTAACTCCCAGAGTTCTAGCTTTTAAAGGGTTTATCCGGAAAAAGAAGATATTTTTAAAACCAAAAAGGATATTTTTGCTTTTTGAGGAAAGTAATAGGAATCCACTATTTTACTTTACATGTTAAAAAAAATGAGATTCATTTTATTCGAAGTTATTGAAAATAGACTCTAATGCCTATAAATTTTAAAAAATATGTCCAATATTCACATGAACTTCTTATTGATAAAATGATAATATATTTTATTTTCTTAAATGAGTGAAATTTAGTTCGATTTTCAAATGACAATAAAGCTCATAAAAAGATTCAATTTTAATCACAAATTACAAACATCTTAAACGAGTGAATTTGATAAAAAAATAATACGTTAAACACTAAAAACATTTGTTAAAAGAAACTATTTTAAATTGAGAGTGATCCGAACTAATTAAACGATTTCAGTAATTAAATAAATATTATTTCATTTTAAAGACTTATTTTAAACTGTTATGTTTATAGAGTGTCGTATATTATCGATAGTAAAAAATTATAAATTAATAATACATTATAATCGGTACGAACTATTAAAAAATAAAAAAGAAACATAGAGATTTGACGTCAGCTTACACTCACGAATTCATCTTACTCCCCACTTGATCCACTGACGACCCCATCAAATGCAAACTTTCGTTCGTTCGACCGCAAGTGTGGTTGTCTCTTATTTTTCACAAACCATAGGTTTTCTTGAAATGCAGGACAGCCAGTAGGAATCACAAAAAAGAAAAAAAATTATAAAAATAAAAACCGCCAAATGAGACAAAATTAAAATGGATAAGGGTAACTACGTCATTCAACAATGACGTTCCTTCAAAGTACATCCAGCTCAGACCCCAGAAGTTGAACAGCTGTGAGGACATTACCGTAAATAAATCCAAACACAAGCCCCACTTTTGCAGTGTTTTTTTAAATTACATTAAATCCATTGAAGATCCAACTCCGCCTTCAAGAAACCCACCCAGGCAGATGATTCCGAAAATAAATAAATAGAACTAGCTAAAATCAAAGAGATTTTTATTTTGAGAAAACAGAGGAAGAAGAGCAGGCATTGATGGCGGAGGGGGAAAAGGAGAAGAACACGACGAGCGAAGAGAGCGTGAAGCTGTTCGTTGGTCAAGTGCCGAAGCACATGACGGAAGCTCAAGTTCTTGCAATCTTCAAAGAGTTTGCTCTGGTGGACGAAGTCAACATCATCAAGGACAAGGCTACTCGCGCCTCTAGAGGTTCAACTTCCATTCTTTTTCATAACTAATTTATTATTTAATTTCAAAGCTTCAGATCTCTCGCATTTTTCTCTTTGTTTTTTCATTGATTTGTTTGATTCTTCTATTTTGGAGTGAGATTTGTGGCTTTTAAAACCCTGATTTTGATACTTCCTCGTGTATTTTTTTGGTTTCTGTATGCTGCTTAAGGATGCTGCTTTGTTATATGCCCGTCGAGAGAGGAGGCCGATAAGGCGATCAATGCTTGTCACAGTAAGAAGACTTTTCCTGGGGTTAGTTTATTTATTTTTTATAATCTTATTTCCTTGTTTTGCCTTGCCTTTTAGTGATTCGTTGTAACATTGTTAGTCATTGTTGTTAATATCTACTTGGTACTGTTCAAAGTTGGACGTTGCTTATTACGGCAACTAATATGTAAATGTAGCACACAAGGTCGACAGCATATAGAACTAGTGTTTGTGTCCATTAAACCTACCTTGAATTTGTGGCCATTTGGCTTTTTGTAGCTAACTTGATAGAAGTTCTTTACCGCTTTGGCATGCTGATTAGTGTACATGCAGATAATGCAGTTGTAGAATGTAGAGTATGTAAGGTGATAATTATTTATTCTAGCTTATCTGAAGTGAACTGGTATCTTGAGTTTTAGAGAATGAAAATGAGAAGCTTTCAGAAATTTCACTAGTATGTGAAATTGTTAATGATTTCAGCCATGAATTTGTCTGGATACCGAATATTTAAGCAAACATTAGGTGTTTGAGTTGTACTTATAGTGCATCACTTAAGGCTAACTACTCTCGAGCTATTTGTCATTCTACCAGATCATTTTGATTGACCCGCATAAAATTGCAGAGAGCACAAAAACATAGCTTCTCATAGAATTATACCGTAACTGAAGAAAAGGTCGCTGATCAACCTATCTTTAGATGGTTACTTGTATGATTGGATTAATTTATGTCTTAGCCCTCAAGTGTTGAGCTGCACTGTGTCAGGTCATGTTTACGTTTTTTTTACACTTTATTTTTTGTTATTGATTATCATGCATTCTGATGTGGTGGTGTTAGATGTGCCATTTTATACAACACGGCATATACCTGGTCTAAGATTTAGAGTGATTGATAACTTAATGTCTTGATCCTGTCATTCATACTTTTAATGAGTAGTCTTGGGACAATTTAATTCGAAGTTCTTTATTGTAACCACCTGCCTACTGTCATATACTTGTGCATAGAGAATCAGAGATAACTTTTACTATACGAGTCTTATTGTTCATCTGATCGGAATTCTTCTTTTTCCCCCTTCTGATTCAGGCATCTAGTCCGTTGCAAGTGAAGTATGCAGATGGCGAGTTAGAAAGATTAGGTATACATTACTTCCGTAAAATAATTTCTTATAATTCTACTTCCTATGAGTTTGGAAATATTAAGTATACATAACCATGAATTGTTGTCTTCTTTTACCAGAGCACAAACTCTTTGTTGGCATGCTGCCAAAGAATGTCTCAGAAGCTGAAGTTGCTGCTTTATTTTCTAAATATGGAACCATAAAGGACCTACTGATTATAAGAGGTTCTCAACAAACAAGTAAAGGTACTTACTCTTCAATCTTGGATTTCCTTTTCTTTAAGGAAGAAAATGCTTTAAGTGCTTAATTGTATAAACAATAAAGCCTCAATCTCAAGTTGTTTCGAATATTTGAATTGTAGTTATATTTTTTCCTTTATAGCAGGCTGTGCCTTTTTGAAATATGAGACTAAAGAACAAGCGCTTGATGCTCTGCAGGCCGTTAATGGAAAGCATAAAATGGAGGTTCGTATTCATTAATGTTTCTGCCTTTGAAAATCAACAAATTTCCCGAAACATTGTTCTGAGTTTCTAACCTGTTTTATATGGTATCTTTTGCATAATAAATGTTGCTATGTGTTTGAATTATAACTGTTATGCATTAATCAACTGTTTTACATTCTTATTTTTCATTGTTATAAATAAGTTACTATATTAAATTTTAGTAATACCTTTATTCTTGATTAGCTTAGTGAAAAAGCTCAAATCACTAAAGGTTCCCGTATAATTATGGAAATTATTTGCACAGGCATCAAAAGTTGATTTTTGATAGTTGATCTTTATTCAAAGGCTTAAGCTTATCTCTTGCCTTCCAAACATGAGTTTAGCCTTTCATGTATTGTCTGGTGAGTGAGTTATTCTCGAATATAGGTGTATTATATGCTTGCCTTCATTTTCTGCTATTTTAGGGTTCAAGTGTCCCTCTGGTTGTCAAATGGGCAGATACAGAGAAGGAAAGGCATGCACGAAGGGCTCAGAAAGCCCAATTTCAAGCTTTGAATAATCCATATGCTGATTTACAGCTTCCTTCATTGTTTGGAGCCTTGCCGATGGGTTATGTTCCCCAGTACAATGGATATGGATACCAGGTAGTTTTTCCTTCCCTGCATGGAGCAATTTTTAAATTTCAGAAACACATATATAGCGGAAAAACAAGTGGTTCTGCTCCTCTTTTTGGCTGAGAGGGTTGTCTGTTTTTTGCCATGATGTTCTGACACATCATTGTATATCTTAATGTGATTGATCATCTCATCATTTATTAGGCTCCAGGAAGTTATGGACTTATGCAGTACCACTTTCCACGAATGCAGAATCAGCCTGCATTTCGCAATATGATTCCTCCAGTAAATCAAGCAAGTGCTTTGCGAGGAATCAGAGCTGATCTCGCTCCCAATATTGCTCCTAGAAACTATGCTATGTCTCCTGGAAGTTATGTTGGCTTGGCTTACCCAGGTGTGCAAGGCCTTCAGTACCCCATGGCATATCCTGGAGGAATGATGAGCCACCGTCCATTGACCGGTTCACCTGGTTCAATGCCACAAGCAAATACAAGCAGTAATTCTTCATCATCTTCCAGCGCTGGTACAAGTTCGGGTGGCCAGATTGAAGGTTTGCTATCTATTTTCATCTCTAGTTTTGTTGTCTCATCCGAAAGTATAGTTTTTGTGGTGGCATGTTTTAATTAATTAGTCTATGCTATGTCCTAGGTCCTCCTGGTGCAAATCTTTTTATTTATCACATACCTCAAGAATTTGGTGATCAAGAGTTGGCTAACGCTTTTCAAGGATTCGGCAGGGTCCTAAGTGCAAAGGTCTTTGTCGACAAAGCAACGGGGGCTAGCAAATGTTTCGGTAAGTGCATTTCCTTGTACTTCACAATCTGATACGAGCTGTCGGGAGTTTTCTTTCTGAAGAACCCCCTCTTTGCAGGATTCGTTAGTTATGACTCTCCGGCAGCTGCTCAAAATGCAATAAACTTGATGAATGGATGCCAATTAGGTGGTAAGAAACTGAAGGTTCAGCTTAAGAGAGACAACAAACATATTAAACCTTATTGATTGGCAGCCGAGTCATGGAATGAGGCCAAAAATGTCCATACACGTGGTTGCAATAAACTCGGATGCATCGACTGACTGCGGTTTCGTCATTCTGGATGGATTAAGGATGATAACCTGTGGGTATAGGTTTCAAACCATCCTAGTAATTGATTCATGGGATCAAAATCCCAGAAACTTGTATAATTCATGGAGCAATCCGTGCGCTACACAATTTGTATTCTGTGTATCATTCAATTCCATTTAAGCACCAAATATTAATTTATTGATTTTTCTTCAAGATTTATTTGTTCATAGATTAATTTGTATTCTGTGGGAGGCTATTCTCATTGGAATCGAGGGAACATTGCACTGATTCAGCTGAGACCCCAAAGAACATGGCAATTAAGGATCACATTGTACAAATCAAAGAATCCCCAAATACCTGGGCAGGTTGACTTGCGTTAAGATTTTGGAAATTAAAACAGTGAAGAAAATAGTATTATTCACTTCACCTTCAGTAATCAGGGTTAAAAAATGATCATATTAACAGAATTACATCGGAGGAGCTCCAGTTGAACTGATGTACAACTCAAAAAGTCGTCGTTTTTTTACTGCTTTGCGGTATAAAACTTGAAGAAGGTATCCCTTTCCTAGACTGCAATGCTTTTGAATTTTCTGCGTTATGGGTCTCGAAAGCTTATTTCTTTAAAAAATCTCTTAAAATTGGGTGATGTGAGCTGTTGATTTGCATTGAATTTTTACCCGAAGAAATGTGGGACGTTGGATGATAAAAGGAAACTTCAATGTTCTTGTTTATCACTCGATTCAACGTTTAAAAACTATGATTTTTAGTAACCTTAAATTTGGGTGCTGTGTTATATGTATGATGTGGTTTGAAGCCACATAAGTTAAGATAAAAAGTGCAAGCAAAAAGGGAAGCCACGTTGAGGATTTAGTGGAAAGTCAAGTGTTCAATGCCGGTGCAGCTATCTATGATCGAAACCAGAACCTAGAAAGAAAAATAATCCCACATCACAGATGCATTGAAATACAAGGTATTTAAGTAGGTAAAAGACATCTGCCGAGTGGGGCAACGCTGCTTATAACCTGTGTGGGGGCAATAAGGTGGTTGGACCTGGGTATGGATCATTGAGCTGGATTCTTGTGACTTCCATCTAGCCTGCCCGTAGCAGCGACAACTTCCTTCTCTTGGCAGTAGTGTAACAGTTTAGGTGGTTGTAAATTGGTTAGTTGATTTCTGCTTTAGTAAGCTGATTTGCTTTGTATATATATACTTTTGTTGGGAAAAAATGTGATAAATTGGAAAATTGGAAACTTTGAGGCATATTTTTTAAGTGTAAAGATGAATAATCGAATAATGAATTTACCGATTCATTTTCATATTTTCTAAGTGTAAAGATGCATGAGAAATTGTTGCTCAAATAGGGTATATAGGAATTGTTTTGTATTAAGGAAAATAGGAAAACCCATATCCCACATTGGTGGGATATTAAGCAATGAAATGGTTTATATACACAAACTCACTTACTAGTTATTGAATGATTTGAGTTAAAATTGTGCATTGCTTATAGGTGTAGGGGTGTAAATCCAAGTTCGTTGAACACATTGGGGTGAAACCTATCTTTTACGCATGATGTGATTGGTTGGGTATCCTACGAATATTTTCCTTAAGTAAAACCTGTATTTTTTAGATATTCTTAATTAAAAAAGATATTATGTGATTTCCTTTTAATTTAAATATTAAATATAGTATGACTTGTAATTCACGAATATATTCGATATAAAACGGTATTAATTGATTATTTCTGATTTTATTCGGATGCTAATTAACAGTCGAATTTTATTTAAGGCAATATTAATTAATTGTTTCCGATTTTATTCGGATACTAATTAATAGCCAAAATATATATTATTTCCAATTCGTCTCCCTTGTGAAACACTATAAATACCGTGCTAACTTACTAGGTTAAACACGATTCAAAAACTCTCTTCTTCCTCTCTTGTTTTCGGTGATAGTCTCTAGCAAGATTTGGTTCGTGATCTTGCAAGTTATGCTACTGTACGCTGATCATATCGTTGTTGTGTCATGGGAGATAGACGAGCAAGATATCTTGAGCACCAAGGAGTGACTGAAAATCTGCCTTAAGGAAACTATGTTGTTGCAAGCCTCAACCTGATTTAAGTTCGATATCCTATTGTTATTTAGTTTCTTTACGCTAACATGTTTCTTCTACTTTATTAATAAAATTCAATTTTTTTATTTTATTTTCGTCTCAGATTGTATAACAATCTTAAGACATATTCTTATTCTACATTTCTAAAAAAATCCGAGACTAAGTTGAAAAACATGTGAAAATCGAAGCAAATTAATTCATTTTCAGGAATTATCCTACCGTTTTAACGGGTTTGCTTAGAGTGGACAAATATGTTTTGACAGAAATTGTAGGTGTAGTAACATTGGTTACTAATTCGGTTTCTGTTTCTTTTACAGAACGAAGGAAGCAACAAATTCCAATGGGTTTCTCAGCTTGGATACTAGAATGATGATTCTAGTTTAGAATCCGAATACGAATCAATCAACTGTAGCAGTTAACCACAGTGAGAGGCCATCGAAATTTTGTGGAGAAAATTTCAAGATATGACAGCAAAAGATATGGTTAAGGGGGAGATTTGTAATACCCCAAATACCGAATTAGGGACTTTATTGAAATGATTTAAAAATAAGAGGATTTATTTGATTAAATGCTAAAAGATGAGAATGATTAGGATTTATGGTTTAGACTAAATTGTGATAATGAAATATTAAGAGGGCATTTTGGTCCTTTAAATGAAAGTGAATTTAAAATTATTATTAGTAAGGTATTGAAAAAAAGGAAAAAAGGAATTAAGCTACCACAAAAGTCTTCTTTCTTTTCTTCTTCCTTCCCCGTAGAAAAGCTCTCCTCCATAGCTCAAATGTGAGATTTCATATGGCTAGTTTATCCTTTCGTTTTTGGTTGGTTATTGAAGCCTTGAGTATGATAGAAGCTTAAAGAATGATTAAATGAGATTAAAACTATGGAATAGAGGAAATAATGGAGATTTTAGAAAATGAGTTTTGAAATGATATGTTAGTAGATTGGTGTTTATTGATGATTATTAGTAGTTTTAACTTGTCAAAGTAGTAAATAAGAGATTAGACGCATTGGATGAGTTTAAAAACAAGTTAGAAATTGTGGTGTGATTCTTATAATCAAATGATCTTGAGGGATACTAGATGTTTTGAGTAGCTAAAAGAAGAAATGTTAGTATAGATAGTTAAAAAAGAGTTTAATAGTATTGTAGGGTGTAAATATAACAAAATTTGACCCTATCTGGGTGATACTTGGATTAAAAATTAGAAATTTCGGGCACAAGTATCGGTACTGATAGAACAATACCGATACTTTTGGCTAAAATGGGATGAATCTGCTAAGTAATATCGGTACTGATTCAATCGGTATCGATACCGAAGGGGGAGTATCGATACCGAAGGAAAGGTTTCGATACCATTCCAAAACAGAATGAAAAAATGGTATCGATACCATAGCATAATATCAATACCATGGTATGGGTATCGATACTGAGAAGCCAGAAATTGTAAGATATATTGATATTGTTGTAGAAAAGTTAATAATAGGATATATTGAGTAATGTTTAAGTGTAATTGTTAGGAAATATACTAACGATTGATATTGTACATGTATTTAATGGATGATTGAGTAGATCGAAATCAAGCTCCCGAGACAATTAAAACGAAGGGCAAAGGCAAAGTACATGAGTAAGCAACTTTTCATTTTGGATACAGTAGTGAAGATAGCCAAGTGAGTGCATTTAATTGTGTAACTATATGTTATACTACTCAAATATGTATGATTGATTAATATGTGTGCAAAATACGGAATTCATCCTAGGTGGATGAATAACCGTTTCTGCACTAAGTGTGCATTTCACGGAATTCATCATATGTGGATGAATAACCGTTTCGAAATTAAGTGCATTTCACGGAATTCATCATATGTGGATGAATAACCGTTTCGAAATTAAGTGTGCATTTCATGGAATTCATCCTATGTGGATAAATAATTGTTTCGACACTAAGTGTACATTTCACGGAATTCATCCTATGTGGATGAATAACCGTTTAGGCACTAAGTGTGCATTTCACGGAATTCATCCTATGTGGATGAATAACTGTTTCGGCACTTAGTGTGCATTTCACGGAATTCATCCTATGTGGATGAATAACCGTTTCGGCACTAAGTGTGCATTTCCCCAGAATTCATAATATGTTTATGAATAATTGAATGGGCACTACGGTGCATTATAGAGAAATGATAATGACTGGAAAATAATGAATGATATTTCATAGATAAGAAATAATGATATAATGAGTTCTTTGTATGATTAGTTTTGCCTCACTAAGTAATACTTAATGTGTGTTTATTTCACGCGTAAGTTGAGTACAAGCTGAGTAAGAGATCATCGAACATCAAAGCCAGAGTTGCCTCATCAGTAATAGTATGACATACCTGTATACTTATGATGTATTTTAGTTGGCATGTAATAGGTTTAGTAAAAGCACTCTAAATAGTATTTTTGAATTAATATGTTGTAAAACGGTGAGGTGTTTGAACATATCCTTTTATTCGTCTATTTTTAGTAAATGTATGTTTTATTCTAAGTAAATTAAAATGTTTTATAAACGAAACAAAAAATTATAGGTTTTTGAAAGAATAACAGTTTTAAAAGTGATGTAACATCTGTATCTCGTATACAGAAAAGTATACGGGAGATGTGTGTTACATTTATTGGTATCAGAGCTACATGTTTAGCCGATTCTCGACCGAATCAAGTGTAATTTTGATGTAAAAAGAGTTTACATGCCACTAAGATGTCAAGGTTACTGATAGGGTATAGAATGAAAATGAAAGATGTCTCTCCTTACTAACTTAATTACTATATTATTAAATGTTATGATAGATGTCGGATTATATAAATTCGAGAAGAGCAGCTGGTCGAGAGAGTAAAGATGGATCAGGTAGTGAAAGCTATGAGGAGAATAGCGAACATCCGATTCCATCAGAGAACGCCAGCGCACCGGCACCTCAGGGTATGCCTGTTCTGGAATTTAGAGCTTTTATGCAAGCTCTCGACGCTATTTTGTCAAGGTTTCAACCTCCTCCGCCTCCCCCTGCTTCTCCAGTACCATAAATACTAATTCCTAAGGAGTTAAGAAGTTTAAGAGTT